GCAGCCACGTCTGTTATTTCAAGCTTCTGACCTGCCATATAAAAGCTTCAAGTTGTCCGGGGTCAGTCACGTCACTATGAAATTTCTGACGCTATTTCGTGGAGATTACCGGACCAAGGTAGTTACGGGTCCCTGATATGCTTCCTTGATTTTTTCAGCCATTTTATGCCTATCAATACACTCATTCCGCCCTAAATATAAATATAAGATTTAGTTTATAATATAATTTGTAATATAAAATAATTAATTCTTATATTTAAAACGGGGAAGTATGTATATACGGTTATTCAAAACACATCTGCATGCCTGCTTAGGAGGCATTCCCCAATATATAAATGCATTTAATTTTATAAGTTAAGTATAAATTCCATCTAAAAATATAAGGAATATTAGTAAATGTTAATGCAGGCCTATGTGAATTTATTATTTATTTAAAATACGAGCCAATGTGTTAATATACGATTTTATATTTTTTTCGGCTAATATCCAATAAAATACAGTTTGATCATGCAATGAATAAAGGACATCTCGTGACGAAAAGGGAAAAATTAAAGAAACTAAAATATCCTCAAAAATGCTATAATCAAATAGGAGAGGAGAAGATATTGTAGAAAATAATTATATTGTTTTAGAAAAATAAGTCATATTTTCTATAATTAATTAACTTACTTAATTTTCTTAATTTAATCAAATTAATTAAATAAATCTTATATTAAGAATCTGAAGAGTACTACGTATAATTCCTTTATTGCGCCCAAGGTCGATGGCCACTGTTCTGCCAAAAATTACCTGACAAGATTCTTTGAGCAATTGAAACATACATGATCTCCTTGCGTTTGAACTTGAAGGAGTGACTTTTAAATAAAAACGCTCTTCCAATCTTAGACACAGAGCATATTTCAAGTAACAGTTTCTATAGAGCGTAGGAGCGTGGGCTTCCCAAAAGATAGCGGAGAGGTACAAAAGTGACGGAGATTGACTTTTAAGTGTAAAGATCGAAGGGAGCTTGACTATTAAACTCACCCATGGGGCAGGGATGAAAGTCAATGTTAATAATCCGACGGTGTCGAGATGGATTTTGTATTTAAGACAAAAAGAAAATAAAAAAAGTTGTTGAAGAGTCCTATTTAAAAAAGTTTGTTTCCACTTAAAATGATTTGAATTGAACGTAACTCGTTTTTCAGCGAGTGCGATTCCATTGAAAATGAGTTGCTAATCCTTAAACAAATTTCAAATACTTTTAACCAACAAATATTTTAATGAGAATTTTTTTCAACAGTTTTCTCAATATAATATGATACTACCTCTAATCTTAAATATAATGCTACATTCTATTTTGTCTTCCAAATATATAATTTTTTTTAGAAATATTCTTGTTGATTAAACATATAAATATTTTCATCACGAGATTATTATAATGGCAAAATTAAATAAGCTATTTTAGGAAAATTAATACACACTAATTTAACTATTTTTTTTAATATTTTGTGAAGCATAGAATGTATAAAAACACATGCAGAGGCTACACTCACATCCGTACATTCTTTTCTTTTTATTTTTTAAAAGCGCACGCTCTGTATTTGTTTTTCCTCTTATCTTCACTGCAGTTGCTTTTTTTTTTTTTTTTACCAATACAACACGATTAGTGGAGGCTAGATTATAAAGCTAGGCTAGTATGCAACCTAAGCAAGGCATTCCTTCATAGAGGAGGCCAGATCAGGGCTCCAAAAGTTGCATTGACCAAACTGTGCATAGCCGCATATCGTTGGTTGTTGAGCTTTAAGTAACTGGGCGGTATTAGTCGCTTTTAATCGCTCGGTTTGATTGTCAAATTTGTAAAGAGAGGAAGAAAAGAGAGATTTGAGAATTATCTATAAATATGCAGGGAGAAAAACTTTAATAAGCGTAAATAAAAAAAGTTGTCAGTTTGGCTTTTGGTATGCGAAAATGTATTAGGTAGAGTGATCAGAGATAACTTTAAAGATGACTTCTTTTCCCATAATTCTTCCATTCTATGAACAGTAAAGTTTTGAACTTCTGCTTCACTTTTTCTTGTGGTATGCCATAATTCTTCCATTCCCCGAACTGTAAGGTTTTTAACTTCTGTTTTACTTTTTCTTGTGGTCCTTTTGTTTAGCAGTTTTTTTTCCACTAAAGCATATGTATTTTTTTATTGGAGGCAATCCTATTCGAGACACTGTTGGACACTAAATGTAGACACTTCTTCTAGCAGAGATTCGAATCTTGATTCGTCATGTTGTGAGGGACTAAACTTTTTCGCTAGATCCAACTCTTGTTGGTTTTTTGTTTAGCAGTTTTAATTTTTCAAGTATAGTTCTGACGAGCTTTACACTTGACTTTTGTTAGTTTCTGTCTGGGGCTTGGCCCTGCTTCTTTCCTGAGCCAATTTGCCGGCCTTGCTCTTTTTCCCGGTGAGTTTTGGTTTTTTCTGGTTAGTCTTGCTATTTTTATCTAGTCAGATGAACCTCTGGAATTGTTTGTTTTCCTAAAGACGGAAACATGAACTGGCTTATGGGGACCCACTTTCCATTTTTAGAGAGTCAAGGGCCTACTCATCGTTTAGGCGCGTTCTATTCAATTTATCTTTTATCAACCGTTAATCAGTCCCATCCATGGGCCAGATTAATTTAGTAAATATTTTTGTTATGGTTTATTTTCTATATTCATGTAAATATTTAATGATATGTATATCAATATTGGAATGGAATTCATGTAGTTTGGTCTTACGTTGTGAATAAATTTAATTATGATTAAATTTGGTTTGCAAAAATTATGATTAAATTTGAACGGTAGATAATTTGGCATTTTGATTTTGTGATATATACTTTAGTCGTGCGCCTAATAAAATCGTATTCACATTACGCAGGAGAATGGGAAATTAAACCAAATTTCATATTTTAAACAACTAAAATTCTGTTATAATTCAAATCCATCCAAGAAAATAAAATGATTATCATTAAGTCTTAACAACAAGTGAACAGTTGTTAACTTATTATTTACTACCATCTCTGGTGCTTAATACAGAAGCTAGATAACTAATTTGAAGATGTTAAAGAAATTAGTTAAATAATTATTTGTAAGTCCTAATAGCAAGTGAGTAGTTGTTAATTTATTATTTATTACTACCTCTAGTATTTAATATAAAAACTAGATAACTAATTTGGTGAGATTTTAAAAAAAATATTTATTTGTAATAAATGTGTATTAACTTTCTTAAATTATTCTTGTTCAATCATATACATTGAAATTACACTTAGGTGAAAATATCTTATAATTAATAGGAATTTTTTAAAAACACATTATAAACTTAGGACTTTTGGATAATTATGTTTTTAACTTAGGACTTCATAGCAATTCTTCCCAAGAAAACTAGCTTAATATTTTAATAATTGATTTTATATCGAACCTGTGAATTATAGGTTAATTAGTGTACTATTACCTCCTATCCTAATTATAAGAGCTAGTTGAAAAATTAATTTAATTTTAAATATAAGACTTAAATCTACTTTATTTTTCACATTTATTTATTTTTTTCTAAAAGTAGTTCAATGATAACCGTACATGTTAAAATATTTTTTCTATAATACACATGACTAATAAGAATATTTTAGTTAAAGAAATATTAATTATTATAAATAATTAATTTAACTAATTTTTCTAATATTCTTAAATTTAGTTATTTATCTTTTATATTAAGTATTAATTAAAGCATGAGTATTTCAATTAACTGCGAATGCTGTTTAAATTTTGGTTGGTTGATATTGACAACTCCTTATAAATGAAATGTTTCTGTCACAACAGATCAATCGGAATCACATGGGAAAGATCCACAGGGGGAGACGCTCCTTCTACAAGCTTCTGCTTTCCACCCGATGCTCCTATAAGGAGCCACGTGTCCCATGACAGCAACAGGGCCCACCCCGCCGCCCTAAAAATTAAGGGCATGTTTAGATTGGTGTTGGATAAAACTAACTTATAGTACAACTGACTTTTGTAACTGAAATTAAAGCAAAAATCAATTAGGATATGTTTGGATAGGTATTTTTAAAAAGTCAGTTGAAAAAGTTGAAAGTTGTTTGGATGATTAATAAAAAAGTTAGTTTAGCTATAAAATGACTAAAAAATACGTGAACTTTATTAAATAGTAGTGTTTGATATTTTATGTTTTTAATATGATAATATTTAAAAAGCTACCTAAAATTATGATGATAAAATAAAAATAGTTTATTTGTGAGATTATAAAATAGAAATATTTGTTACCAAGATAATTAAACATATATAATGGATAAATATGAATATAAATTAAAATTTATTTGCTCTCTAGTTTGGGATTTTATTAGTGTTTGTTTAAGATTTAATTCTTTTTCTACTACAATTTCTTTTGGAGCCATTACGGTTCCCTTGTTCCTAGTTATGGTGGATGAAATTGAGAAGGCAGGTGAGGCTACTAGAGAGAGAAGCTTGGAAAAGGCTGGAAGGCACCTTCCTAAACACTCCGAAAGTTACACATTTGAGCGTTGGAACGCACCGGTAGTTTGGCCCAAAAGTTAGCTAACATCTTAATTTATCTAAACAGCAAGTTTGAATTCCAAAAAACCCCAAATCTCAGTTTCACATTTATCCCTCCAAACGGAAATCCAAACATGGGCTAAGACAATAGACCAAGTCAGCAAAATGCGCCGGATATTCAAAATCAAATTTTTCAAGAGTGGAATGTGAGACATACGGATTACGTAATAAAAGCAATGTAATAGTAATAAATACGTGAAGTTATCCATTTCTTTCCGTCTCCGATGGCGGCCAACCAATGACGAATATATGGGACTGTAGTTCACGTGGCTCGACTTCAAGTAACCCGACACGCGCGTGTATGTAATATGGAGATGTATAAGTTGCGTGTCCATATGTACATGAATATACTACAAATAACTAGAAGAGAGAGTGGGACGAGCTCTATCAAGAAAAAACGGAAAGGGGGAGGCGGTTTTTCTTCAACAGTCAAACGCAGAAGATATGGACTTTGCAGAACTGAGAAGAGCTGTAGAGGAGGTCGAGCTCATCGACGCTCACGCTCACAATATAGTTGAGCTGAACTCCAACTTCGCTTTCATCCATGCCTTCTCTGAAGCCTACGGGGATGCCGTTTCTTTCGCACCCCACTCTATATCCTACAAGGTACTTCTTCCTCACTCTCTTCTCCTTGTTCGCTACCACCGTCGCCATTTGCTCTAAGCTCATGCTCCGGATCTGACCGGTTTAGCTTTCACATTGTCAAATCTGATAAGAAGGAAAAAAAATCCTCAAATGATTTATTTGAGTGATAATACGAGTTGACTTTCTAAAGGAACAGAGGGCTCCTTTCATTAATTCCCCTGTTCCATTAAAAACAATTCGCTTCTGAATCAGTTGTTATCATAGGCGAACCACAATCATTATACGAAACAACTGAAATGATCGACCTCGAACAATTATGGATGATAATTTTTTATTCTGCTATTCTCGAGCGTGACCCTCTTAAAATGAAAACTTGAATCATCTGTGTACTGTCAGTCAATGACGTATTTCCCTACCAGCTTGCACGATGTTGAGTACATATGTAAAACAGATAGCTGTAAATAGCATGTTACATTCCAGTTGGTTTTTTGGTTTTGACATTGGGATGTCAACGTGATTGTAATTGCTTGAAAGTGTGGGCGGCACAAGGATTTCTTTACAGTTTCCTTTCCTCTTATTGAGAACATAGCTATGCAATCGTGATATCAAGCTAATCAAACCAAAAGACATAGTAAACTGATGACCTGAGGTTGGGACTTTCTTGCCAGAGATAAATGATATTTGGAAGTGTGGTTGAAGGAAAAAGGATCAAGAAACAAAGCTTTAGCATGTTCTGTAAATTTATTGGAAGTAATTACTGAATTATGCTATGATTTCTGCTTTCACTTCGCTGCATCAACTCCTGTTGAGCCATGCTTCAGGATTTCTAGCATGTTACTGTATTTTATGGTGTTTCAAATAGAAACTCAAACCCACTCATGAGTACCCAGAATAATGATTGATTTCATTCAATGGAATATGTTGCATGAAGTATTTACCAATCTCTTGTCAAATTGATGCCATGCAGCATCTGTGGTTTAATTCCCAGTTCTACCTCACAATCTATATGTGCTAAAGTCAAGTGTTATTGAATGCAATTTGCTCGAGAATTTTCAAATTATTCTGTTTGACATATGATTTGTGTTCAAATTATGCAATGACAGAGAAGTGTAAGAGAAATTGCTGAACTCTATGGATGCCAATGTTCTTTGCAAAGTGTTGAAGAATATCGAAGAGTTTCTGGATTGCAATCCATCTGTTCTAAGTGCTTCAAAGCTGCAAAAATCTCCGCCATACTCATTGACGATGGGTTAGAATTGGATAAAAAGCATGATTTAAAGTGGCACGAGAGTTTGACACCTCTTGTTGGTAGAATCTTAAGAGTTGAACGGTTGGCCGAGAAAATTCTTGATGAAGTGAGAAACTTAGATTTCCATTTTTGATCCGAAATTGCATAACTGTTGGGCATCTTATGTTGTTTTTAGGCACTATATTGTTCTTTATTTGTGTTGCTGTTGGTACCGTGCAAGGAGCATTGTGAAACAGCAATTTTGTTAGCGAATTACTCTCACAGATTCGTTCATTCCAGATACATGAAATATTGAAATTTGGTTTCATCCTTTGTTTGTATTCCATTCTTGTATCTGTGATTGCAGTCATACTATTTGTCGCTAAGCCATAGGCCAATGTTCTGTTTGGTATTGACTTCATGGCTTTCTAACTCATGTTGCTTTAGGTGTTGCCACATGGATCTCATTGGACATTGGATAAGTTCACTGAAGCATTTGTCTCAAAGTTGAAATCATATCCTTTGCATATCAATTTCTTTTCTTAATTGGTATATAGTTGCGAAATTATTCACTGGTTTAACTGGACTCCTTAGCATTTTTGTTACGGTTGCTAGTGAAATCTTTGGATTGAAAAGCATTGCTGCATATCGTAGCGGTCTTGAAATCAATACAAAAGTGACCAACAAGGATGCAGAGAAGGGTCTCAATGAAGTGCTAATTGGTAAGTAGAGTATATGAATTGGTTTCAGTTTAACGTAACGCTGGATAGTCTTAGCTGTAATTCCTTATTTTCAGCTGGGAAGCCGTTCCGTATAACAAACAAGAACCTTATTGATTACATCTTCTTGCAAAGCTTGGAAGTTGCTCAGTCTTATGACTTGCCAATGCAGATACACACAGGGTAATGGATAATTCTTAAATTGTCTGATGCGCTTCTACATGTGCTATGATTGCTAGCTAAATATTTTTGGGGGAATGGATGAGCTTTAAAAACTGGTAGCTTTTTGAGGTTTCCAAATAATTACTTCTAAGTAAGTATGAACTGAGTTAATTAAAATTTCTTGTAAATAACTAGAGTTCAGTTAATAAGGGTTCTTGCACTGTCTTGCATTTGGCAGTACGTCATTAATGTTGTGGAAATGCAGTGGTCCATGCCTGGTCCACTACTAGGATTTACCAAAAATCTTGTTTACGTCAAAGTTGCAGTTTCCTCTGTTATTTACTGCTTCTCTGTTAATATCATATTGAACATCCCTGCGAGTCAAGTGGGATGGGAGAACCAATCCACTTGAATACCCTATTAAGCACCCATACTACTAAATTGAGATTAGGTCTCTCAATCAATATACCTTTCACTTTTACGTAATATGCTATTTATTGATTTTTGTTTGTAGCTTTGGAGATACAGATCTAGATATGCGACTATCCAATCCTCTTCATCTCCGTGCAGTTCTTGAGGACAAGAGATATTCCAAGTGCCGTATAGTTCTTTTACATGCATCCTATCCATTCTCCAGGGAAGCATCATATCTTGCCTCTGTTTACTCCCAGGTAAATGTTAGATGACTCAGTAAATTATATTAGCATATACCTAATTTGGGTACCAGGTTCCTTGGCCTTGAGGATAATATACAGTTTTTTCCTTCAGGTGTACCTCGATTTTGGGTTGGCAATTCCAAAGCTTAGTGTTCATGGAATGATATCTTCAGTTAAAGAGCTATTGGAGCTGGCTCCAATAAATAAGGTGACAATATACAGAGTTCAAAAAATAATATGAAAGTACTGTGCCATGGACGTAGAAAATAAGTGTTGCCATGCACTGGTAGGAAACAAATTTCACGTGCGACACATGGAGCTAGTGTTAGAAGTTTATACTACATAATCTATAGTATGTAGCTTCAATTATTATAACTCTTAACTTTTATGTTAATTTGTCTGAGTATGGAGTGAGAAAGCAATGCTTTCTTTCTTTGCTGCTTGCGTTTTTCACCCTCTTTTTACCTTGTAAAAACTTCTTTACTTCTAAAATTGAAACTTCAACTTTTTAATACTGGCTATGTTATTACACACGCTGAACTGGCACGAACGTGTTAATATGGCATGTGGAGTTGTATTTTATGTCTGTGCTGGTGAATTTAATGTCTTGCGTGAATAATTTGCAGGTGATGTTCAGTACTGATGGCTATGCATTTCCTGAAACATTCTACTTAGGTTGGTTAGCATCATTAACATTTATTCTTTATGTACACAGTTACTAGAACAATTGTTTTGTTTTAACCACTTTTTTATTTAGCGCCATCTAGCATTGTTTTGCCAAGATGCCTGTTGACTGCTTTCCTGCCACAACATTTATCCTGATTCTTGGAATATTTCTTGACTCCTCAGAATATTATGGTCCCTGCATACATAAATGAGGACCAGAGGTTTGAAAAGGAGACATATGCTGGTGGCTTACTTACAGATTGAGAACTGAATTAATGTCTTATTAGTGAAAAGGTGGAGGACATACAGAGGTGCTGTGCCCACGAATCAACCACTAGAATCCTACGAGATAAATTAATTAAAGAGATATAACAAGTATTAGAGGATATCTTAGAAAATCAGAGAGCTAAAAATGAAAACAAACCAAGTTGACTTGGTCCTATGAGATCTGGACATGATGTCAAGGAGAGTTGAGCCTAGTGACTGCAATCACTAGGACTCCCCCTCTTCAAGTTTGAGGAGGAGTAGATGTTAACCCCATCTCCAAGCTCTTTAAACTTACCCAATTAAGGAAGTCCTTGGTCAGAACAGGTCATCAGCTATTTGGCATTTGCAATATGGTTGGACTGTTGGAGCGTAATTGACTTCAAGTAAACCGGAATCAAATTTTTGAGTCAGAATGTTAGTCAGTAAGATGTGCTAGATAAAATAGTGCATAGTCATGAAATATACCCTTTGCTGTGTGTAGTGGTGCTGTCCAAAAAAATATGGCCCATTCACAAGCTAGGAACATTGCTAACTTACATGTAATATGCTGCCTATTTATACATGCAAAAGCAAATTAGATCTCCTTCATATTTCATCTGAATAATATTATGCATATAACCAACAATCTCGGCCCTGCCACAATACTTGATTGCAAAGCATAGTTGATTGAAATAAACTTAAAATTTAATTTTACAGGTGCAAAGAAGTCTCGTGAAGTTGTTTTCTCTGTTTTACGGGATGCATGCATTGATGGTGATCTCTCAATTCCTGAGGCTGTGGAAGCCGCTAACGACATCTTTGCACGAAATGCAATCCACTTTTACAAGATTAAATCAGCCACTGGTACTATCACTTCACGCAACATCCTGTCCCAAAAGTCAAATATTGCCTTAGAGGCTGAATTGTCACTTGTTCGTCTCATGTGGGTTGATATTTCTGGACAGCATAGATGCCGTGTGAGTTTACGTCAGCCTATTTCTATCCTCTTCTTGTTCCTGTCTTACATGGGGACCTTTCATTTGGGAACTTGAGGAGAAAGTTGCATATGTTTACTTGTTGAATTAGAAAGGTAGATATTGTAATATGAGAAAGAAATTCATGATTATATTAGCAATTGGAAAAAATTGATAAGGAAAGTCAACTGTTCAAGGTCCTCATAACTAGGTTTATACCACTTGTTTGTTCCGTCTGGTTTAAGAGTGAAAATTCCTGTTTTCGATAATTGGGAGGAAAGTAAAGTCATCTAACTATCCTTAAGAAAAAGTTTGCCATAATTTAGCATCATGGTGTCACATGTCAGCTCTGCTATTGCCTGTTTAAGCGATTCTAACATTTCCTGAAATAGATGTCTTCTCGGACAAGTAAGTATCTAAAATATTCTTCCTTAAGCTACATCTGTGATAAATTGTACAAGTAATCATTGAAAAAGGAAGAATTCTTGAATTTTTGCATGATGAGGGAAATAAGGCATTTGAATAAACATTTTAAAAGTAAATTGCTTATAAAATTGAAACCACAGTTCATGTTCACATTAATGTGGGACCAGAATCTCAAAAGAAAATTGCAGCACATCCTTAATGTAGAACGAGAATCTTTTAAGAAAAGTGCAGCAATTTTTCTTTTCCTTCTTATTCCCTTCATGAATAAGTAATCATGTGTTCACCTAATCAGTGACTTTGAGGGTAGATTGATGCAGTTCCTTAAAGTGGGTAACAGCCACATAGCTAGTAGTGAGAGTAAGAAGAATTTTAAATATTAGATACTATCATGATCTTAGGGAAATTCTTCTAGAGACATGGCCCTACTAATAAAGTGTCCTTCCTCTGGATTTTGATTTCCAATAGCTTCCAGTGAATTTCATGTCCAGCTCTTTTTATGCTTATATACTCAACAATAAAATACAAGTAGCACATAATAATTTTTAGCACAATATTGTGATGGCTATCACACTATCAGGGATTATTTGAAATTTTCTTCAAAAAAAATAAATCAAAATATATTCATGATTAAAGAAGCAAAATTAAGAAACGTGATGAATTCTCATTGCTGTGCAATAGTAGTGGTGAACATGCACAATCGATGCTAGGATCATCAACGAGCAGAATTTGTGTTCATGATAGTCGCTACATTCTCATTGTTTCATCATGCTTTCCCTTTTTATCACTCACATCAGAATGAGTAGTATCTGTTATAGTATTTGGGAACTTGTTTTCAAGATCTGCTGAAGTTTAGTTTTGACTTTGCTTGGAACTTCTATTATTTGTGCTATTCATGAGATGCTGCCAATTTTTGTTTCAGGTTGTTCCGGGAAAGCGTTTCAATGATGTCGTTAAGGAGCATGGGGTTGGTTTGGCAAGCGGCGTTGTAGCAGTACCTTCTTATCTTGATACAACAGTAGAAGGGTCTGGTTTGACTGCAGTTGGTGAAGTAACCATAATGCCTGATTTGTCTACAAAAAGCAGAATTCCTTGGTACTCCGTTTCTTTCTTGATGGGATTTTCTGATATTTTATAGTCAACTGGTACTTGCAAATTGTGTTTAGTTTCGAATTTTTCACCCAAAATTGTGCCTTTTTTTTTTAATATTTATATCTGATATTTATTTTGAAAGTCTAAGATAATGAAATTCGCAATGCAAAAGTAACATTTTTGCAAATAGAGGCAGTAATATGATAATGACAAGTATTTTGAGTTCAACCATGGGTCTTTATTCTTTTCTATCGATACATTGGTTTCTTTGGCCAACTTTTGATACATTAGTTGAAGAATAACATTCAAAGAGCCGGCAACTCGTGATATGCACAGTTATTTTGCGTTGAGCATATACAATTGAATTATTAAACTGATGCAACTCTCTTCTGTGACAGGAGCAAGCAAGAGGAAATGGTTTTGTGTAATTTGCAAACTAAACGAGGTGAAGCATGGGAATATTGCCCAAGGGAGGCCTTAAGAAGAGTGTTAAAGATTCTGAAACATGAATTTGACTTGGTATGGTTTAAATCTTGTCTTAATTGTGATGTGGAGCCATCAAAATGAGTTGAGCCCGATGAGATGGCCTATTTAACCTGCAAATTTGTTGAATCGAGTTGAGACTTCTTTAGAAATATTTTTGAGTGTGATCTTATGAATCCAACACATTTATCCTGTAAGTTAAACGGCCAGCAAGGGAGCTAGGTGAATAAACTTAGTATTGGCTCTCGAGTTTTGAATAAGTATAGAAGTTCCCTCCTTTAGACAATGTTCAAGTATCTACGTGGTTTTGAATATAATGACATTGGTAATTTATTAAGACGTGTTTTTGGTAGTCGTTCTTTATTTACTTATTGTTCTTTTGATTTTATATATTACTAATTAAATAATACTTTGTTTAAATTTTATTGTAAAAGATACTGATGTGCATGGCAGAGAAGGAGATATTAGTGTTGATGGCGACACTACATGCACAAGATGAGATTCAAATACTGTTGAGGTTTAAGACATTAGAATGACCTAAGATATTTGAACATATTATTTTCCCTTTTAAAAAAAAAAATTGGTGATAAACATTGGAAGCTTAAACGGTGGAAGACGTATTAATTTCTTGAACTTTTTAATGTTTTTTGGTGAGTTAAGAGGGTTGGTCCACTTAACCCGTGTGAGCCGGGTTTTGATTTTCAACCCACTAAATTAAGGTGAGTTAAATGAGTTAGCCTGTTTAACTTGCAAGCCATGAAAGGTTGGTTTGTTTAACTCACTTGGCCCATTTTACGGACTGCTGTTTAATGTTTGAACCTATGTTTCCAGGTAGTGAATACGGGGTTTGAGAATGAATTTTATCTCTTGAAGAGTGTAACTAGGTACTAAAATTATACTCTTTTCTGATTAATGATTGAATTATACCATCACAGTTGATTAAATAAGTGAATTAAAACAAACAAAACTTTACAGGGAAGGGAAAGAAGAATGGGTGCCGATTGACTCGACTCATTACTCCTCCACGTCAGCATTCGATGCGACATCCCCCGTATTTCAGGAAGTCATTGCTGCTCTTCATTCCTTGGGTATTTTAGTGGAACAGGTAAAAAGGAATTTACAGCATCATCTATTACATATGTAGATACGATGAAAACCTTTTGTTGTATGAGTCTGAGTGTTGCATTTCAATCTAAAGCGTCTAGCTTATGATTTGAAGTATGTATCTAGTTCATTATTTATTGAAAAGTTATCGAGGGAAGAGGAAGGAAATTTGAGTTTACCTGCTCACATTTACAACGAACAGTTCCATTCAACTTTTGTTTGTTGGAGCACGAATAAGTTTTAAATGTAAAATCACTTCTTGTCCTTGCGATCTATATTGGCCACTTTCTAAACATCAGGTAAATGAATTTTCTCTGAATCCTGAGTCAAGTATAATATGGTGATGTGGGACAGGAACCGAAAGATTATAAGATAGCGAAACTCTTAAGTCAGGTCATCATATCAATGAATTTATCATAAAAATGAGGGCAAGATGTGCTGGAGGCCTATGTACGGAACCTAAAGGAGAAATGCTGGTGATACCTGGTATCTTAGTCCTTCTAGGATATCTTGATATGGTGTTATACATCCCTAACATCAAATGCCTTTATGCAAATTTCGAATTAAATTCTAAACATCCCAATTATCCAATTACTGACCCTAACTTCTGAATATTATATCATTGAATGATAAAATAAATAACAACTCTATCATTTCAATTAACATCTCTGATTGTCTTCCATTTTTGACTAAACTGTAATCATGTCATTTTGCACGCATCTTGAATCAAGTCCTGGTTTCTATTCTTGCCCTTTTCATGTCGCATCTATACTGTAAGTTGTATATGCAGAAAGAGGATATAGATATTGAATTTCCTCTTACCATGCATTTAGGTTGGTCAAGCTTCTTCATCGGCTTCACTCCACATGTCGCATTATTCCAAGTTACATTATTATATATTTTGCTAATAAAAAAGTTGACTGTGCGAAAGCCCCAACTTCACTTGGCCTTTTGTAGCAGGCCTTACAATATCTTCGTACAATGGTTAAGATCCTAAGATACCTCCAAACTAAAATATCCACATTGCTGAACCAATGCCTCCTACTCCGTCTAAAACATGGAGCATGTTAGATTACTGTGCCTAACCAAGGTTCTGGTCTTCTGGGAAGGATTGTCATCATACGGCATGTGCCAAATCAATGCTTAAATTGTCCTTTGGTTGGTTCTTGTAGGTCTCCTGCAATTTCCTCTCCTGAGGTTGTAATCAATGGCCCTTGATCTTCTAATTATTCTTTCTTTCTATGTATTGAAGGTACATGCAGAAGCTGGAAAAGGTCAGTTTGAAGTGATTCTGAGCTATTCGACCTGTACTGAAGCTGCGGATCAGTTAATCTACACTCGTGAGGTTATCAAGTCAATTGCAAGAAAGCATGGGCTGCTGGCAACTTTTATGCCAAAGTAGAGTGGAAATTCTATATGAGAAACTATAATCATCTTGCCGCTCTATTTTGGAGGGCGTTGAATTTTAATGTTAAAGCAAAGGGGCTAGAGACAGGCCCTCTACTTCAGCCTTTTTATTTATGTAATAAATACCTACAGCCATTGAACTGTCTTTGGTTGCTTCAAGTGAATAATGAGTAATATATATTTTGCGTGCGCATGACATTGTTCTTTTGTGATATTGAAGGTGCTTTTTGGATGACATTGGCTCTGGAGCTCACGTGCATCTTAGCCTGTCACAGAATGGTCAAAATGTATTTATGGCATCGGATACATCGTCTAAATATGGAATATCGGCTATAGGAAAGAAATTCATGGCAGGAGTTCTACATCACATTTCTTCAATTTGTGCATTTATAGCACCTCATCCTAACAGGTTGCTCTTCCTAATAGCAGTCCATCATTATCTTATCATGATTATTTTTGAAATTTCAGTACGGTCATAATTTTGCTATCTCTTATTACATGGTTGATTAAGAACTAGAAAAGATGATCAGATTGTTGGAAGTGGGCCCAATTGTAGACAGTCTAATCCTCTGTAACTTGCATGTGGACCATGAAAGTGGAAAAACA